TAGTGTATTATCAAACAAACACCTAATATATTTTTTTTATTTAGTTCTATAAATTAAATGATGCTCAAGTTATCTTGTTTTCAAGGTTATAATTGTTCAGGATCTCCATTTCATGTGAGTTTTATTATTAATTAATATTGTGTTTTGTAAAAATAAAAATAAAGGGATGGTATTGGCAAGTTTTGATGTATATGGAAGAGATGGAAAATTATTAAATTTATCAAGGGTGCAGTGCGACCAAAATGGTATTTATCTAGAATTTAAGTATTTTTTTTGTTTTTAGATTATTTTAACATATTGATATTAAATATAAAAAATAAAAATATTATTTAAACATTTTTTAAATTAAAAACAAACTTTTAAACAGGCCCTAAGAAAGAAAACGAAGCTTCCGTTTTAATTTAATTTGGTTATGGAGCGCTGGTGACATTGATATTTAACGGACGGCGATAACGGTCACCAAACAGAAACACGCTGTCAACAACGGTTACTTCAGAGAAGTTGCGCCCGAGCAGGTCAGGATGGGACCCACGGTTCTGCTCACAGCGACATCGTCCAGGGTAAAAGGAAGGGCAGGAAGACAGGACAGGGCAGTTCACTGATAATAATAATAACAGCGAGAGTCAAGAAAACTCCATTCACACTCCCACTCCCGTAGTCTCAATCACATCCTTAACGTGTTTGACTAGAATATCGGAAAACAAAATAAAATAAAAAAATCATGGTTTCACACTCACTCTCCCTGGAAATGCGCTCCCACTCGTGAATCTAGAAGGGAAAACAAACTTCGTAATTCTATTTTGAAGGCATGTATTTTTGTGTTCATATATTATTTTTTAAAATTTATTTATTTACTAGCATAGATTATTTTGATGTTATATAAAAAAAATATTATTTTAAAAAACAACTTAGAATCACATATTTACCCACCTTCGTACCTAGTTGAAAACTTGTGATGGTATTGGGATGGAACCCGCGGATTCACTCAGCCAAACCAAACTAGAAAAGCATATTCGGGAACTACCTTGCACCGTGTTGGAAAACACACACAAATTGGCTTGAAAATAGCTGGATGGTCACGAAAACTCTGAGGTGATTAATAGCTGTGGTCTACCATGTTGGAGTGTTCATATTAGAAGGGGTTTGTAGTTGCACTTTAAAAATAATTTTATTTTTTATTTTAAATTAATTTTTTTATTTTAATACATTTATTAAAAAAACACTTTAAGAAGTAATCATTATCACACTTTCAAATACCCATTAAAACTTATTTATTTTTAAATAAAACTTTTATATTTTTGCATTTAAAAAGTAATTTTGAGAAAAAATGATTTTTTTATATTTATTAAATTTTAAAATAATATTTTTTAGTGTTTTTAGATAATATTAAAAATAATTTTTTTTAAAATAAAAAAATATTTTAATATATTTTAAAATAAAAATAGTATTATAAAAAATAATAATTATCACATTCTTAAATACTTTTTATAAAGAAATATTTGTAAAAACAAATTTTTATTTGAGTCTGACCATAGAATTTTTCATTGTTCTGATTATAAATTTCATGGAGATTGTGATATATGAATTCGTTTTGTATAGATTTAATAAGAAAAAAGAACGTTTTTGTTTAAATAAACTTGTCGGTTGCTGTCTTGAATTTATCAAAGTGCTTATATGTTTGTAAAAACGAAACAAACAAAAATGCATGCCTTGTTTTGCCTTTAGCATCCCCCTCGACGTAGTGTTTTCTTCATTTAACCTTTGAGCTCTATTATATCTTGATAAAGTTTATTTTAATCATGTCTTTTAAACTGTTTTCATTTTCTAATAGTTTTGAAAGAAATAATAAGATATTAAGAGAGAAAATGGGTTTTTTTCAATCATTTCGGGATTTATATATATATATATATATATATATACATATTCAACCTTACTTTACTTTTCATGATAAGTTTTTATTTTAAAAACAATGATTCTCATAAAAAAAATCATCAAAACAAAAAAGAAATAAATAAATAAGAAAAAAGAGTTTTGATTAAAATAATATATTTTTCCACCTTAATTCAAATGATTAAGTTTTCTTATGAATATTTATCCTAATAATCTTTGTTTCTTTATTCAAAAGACAAGTTGATTATAAAAAAGCTATAAAAAATAAATTAATAAAAAAATAAAAAATCATGAAATAAAAAATATATTTTTATATAATCTTTACAACATAACAAAATTCATTTTAAAAATTACCCCACGGCATTGTCCTAGAAAAAACTAATAGCCCTACTATTTACGGGGACACTGCTAGGAAATGTTGAGAAATACAGGTAAAAACACGCGTCAAAGAGTCAGGCCACCTTACTAGGAAAATCCATTGACCATGAAAATCTTCTGACCCTTTCCCGTGATGCTAAAACAAAAAAATAATAATAATAATAACAATCCAAGGGCAACATCGACATTATGGAACAGAGCAGTGGCCACAGATCACTAGGAAGAAAACCACTATAAATAGCCTCCTAACATTTCCACAATAACAATCCTCTTCTTCCATGCGACAGATTCATAGACAAACAAACCACAGAACAAAAGGAGTCACAAAAAGCGAACGCAGTAGAACTCAAAACAAACATCATACGAGAAAAAAAAAAAAATGTCGTGCTCTGTTGCGGTGTCGAATTCTCCTGTATTCTCTCCATCAACAACTCTCTTCCGCAGCAAAACAGTGGTATCAATCCCTTCACCACCAGCAGAAACAATAGCACTAACACTAACCCATTCAAAACCAACAACACAATCTCCATCTTCTTCAACTACTTCTTGCTCTTCTCCCTCTCCGTTTCGATATCGCCTTCAAAAACCATTAACTGGGTTCAATTCTTCTTCTTCTTTGGCTTCGGGTTCGGGGGCGGCCGCGACGCTCTTGAAGAGGAAGAGGCCGACGAGGCTGGATATACCGGTTGTTATAGGGTTTGGAGGAGGGCTGGCGACGCCCAGGGAGGTGGAGGAAGCGGAGGTGGAGAGAGAAGGGTATGGCTATTCTGTTTATTGCAAGAGAGGAAGGAGAGAGGCTATGGAGGATCGCTTTTCTGCCGTCGTTGACCTTGAAGGAGATGCCAAGCAGGTAATTTCATAGTTTTCTGCTGTGTGAATTGTTTCTGTTTTCGTTTTCTTCCTCTGTCTAGGTATGGCTATTCAGTGGACTGGTATGTGAAATAAAATTGTTTTGTTGAATAACCTATCTGGGTTTATTGATTTTGTGTGTGGTGGTGGGCGGAGGGTGGTAATGGAGCTTTTCTGCAAGATATTATTAATGGATGCAATCCAATGAATAATTGCGAATGATTAAATATGGAATTGGATAATGACGAGCTTCGATTTAAGGAATTCTGGAATATATCAAAGAATATGAAAGTAATTGCTCTAATGAAGTCTTTTGATCATCTAGACACATGTTTTTGGTTATGGTAATTTTAAGGCTAGACTAAACATGGAACCAAATATGGAAAATTTTTATATGTTGTGTTGATTAATATTGAGGCTCTTTGTTTGATTTAGAATTTGTGTCTTGTAATCTATATATGCATTGTGTTTGCAGGCTTTCTTTGCTATTTTTGATGGACATGGGGGTGCTAAAGCTGCTGAATTTGCAGCAGGGAATTTAGATAAGAATATTTTAGATGAAGTTGCTAGGAGGGACGAAGAAGACATTAAGGATGCGGTTAAGCATGGTTATTTGAATACCGATGCTCAGTTTTTAAAAGAAGATATTAGAGGTGGCTCCTGCTGCGTGACAGCTTTAATTAGGAAGGGGAACCTTGTTGTATCTAATGCCGGTGATTGTCGTGCTGTTATGAGTAGAGGAGGTGTTGCTGAGGCCCTCACAGCCGATCACCGGCCTTCCAGGGAAGACGAGAAGGACAGGATTGAGTCCATGGTACGCAGTTTGTTACCATATTATGCACGCTCTTGCATAGAAATACAGGGTCTGAGAAAAGCTTTGTTTGAATTGGAACTAATGAATTTTATGGAATTTGTTTTGCAGGGTGGCTATGTTGATTTAATCCATGGAACTTGGAGAATTCAGGGATCCTTGGCTGTGTCCAGGGGAATTGGAGATAGTCATCTTAAACAGTGGGTAATAGCTGAGCCTGACACAAACGTTGTTAGAATTAAGCCAGATCATGAGTTCTTAATCTTAGCTTCTGATGGCTTATGGGATAAGGTATGTTCTCGCTAGCAATCTTTTCCCTTTAAAGGAATTTCACTAGCTCAAATAATCTAAATGAAGTCCTTTACATGGTTTCAGGTTGGTAATCAAGAAGCTGTTGATATTGCTCGCCAATTGTGCATAGGGGTTGAAAAGGCAGGACCATTATCTGCCTGTAAAAAGCTTGCTGATCTCTCTGTTTTGCGAGGCTCTTGTGATGATATTAGTGTGATGCTGATCCAATTGGAACGCTATGTATGATTAAAGCATTCTTAGTTTAAAGACGGGAACTTAGCTGACACATACGCTGATAGATATTTATTTTCTGAAAGAACCTTGTAATCGGGAAGCTGAAGGCTAGCAATAAATATGGTGGGAGTGATATTTAAATTCTAGAGGAACCTGATCAATTCACCCATGGCTGAAGACTGGACAAAGTAGGATTCTTTTGCTGATATTCTTTTGAATGATTCATTTCATTCACTTATAGTTATTCTTTAGTAGAAATTCATTACTCGGTGCCCAGAAACCTTGATTTGTATTTTAGGCTTCGCAATAAAGTTATGGCAATACACTTGCAACTGGTATCCTGATCTGCGTTGTGGCGTGGCATGTAACTTCTGGGATGGGGATTTTCTACTTCAATGGGAGCATCAAATGAATGATGATTGCGTTATTTTCAACCCGTCCCAACAGAGGCACTAATTATTTTGATGCTCGAAGGCATTGTAACGCATCAGAATCTGGAAATCTACTTCAATTTCCAAGTGCTCTTAAGAAGGTATAATCACACACATGCGCGCACTGTTAGCTTCTTCTGATCCTGGCTGTCATTTCTCGGTGCCTTGTTGCCTCAGTGTTGGATCAAATTACTTGCTAGCTCCGGTTCAAATGGCTGCCATATTCGTTATAAATTGAAGTATTTATTAGTAGAACACCCCCTTCTCCTTGCCCTCTCCATGGTTCATTGATCATATTTGCTGATATTTCATACCCCTGGCTGGTTATTCTTAAGCATAGAAACATAGGGTTTGTTTAGTACCGTTTGCAGTCTTGGCTTTCGTTTTCGTGTTTAGTTTCTGTTATTTTTAAACAGAAAATTTGTTTGTTTTGGATTTTTTTTAATTATTTCAAAAAAATCAAAGTCAACAACAGCCATTACAATTTTTTTGAAAACCAATTTGTTGGGCTTTAAAAATATTGGACCATTAGTTATCGGATTTTATATATTTAAAAAAAAGCTTTTTTTTTCTTTGTGAGAGCTCGAAGACAGAGAATCGGGCTTTTCCAAAGAATTACTGCAGCGTTGCTGCTCCCTTCGATTATCATATACAAAAAAAGTCTCCTCCACTTTCCTACCCAATCCCTCTTTATTCTGGCATGTAAAAGAAGGAATCGAAGAGATTATGGCAGATTATGTTCATCAATAAATGACCCGAAATTGGATCTTGTTCCATGTGAGATTGCTCCTTTAAATCGTAATCAAAGATGTTTTTGTTTCTTTTCTGAACCTGATGGATCCAGACAGTTAAGAAGATACTTTCTTTCATCGGCCTTCAGGAGCGTAGCGTTATTCCTCAAATAAATTACTGTAGCCTGTAGGTACCTTTTAAAGCCAAAAAAAAAAGAGTGGTGAGTGTTGAACCTTTTTCCCAGCAAGCAAGACTAGTCATTCCCATAGGGATAACAGTCATTCCATTTTAAACATATTCTGGTTTAACCTTGCCAGTCTTACCAGGCTAGTAGTTCTCAGCGATGCATACCAGGCATAGGCTCCACATATATACTATTCCATCTATTCTCTCCATTGAGACAAGTTGAACAGCTTCCTTTTATTATAAGAGATTAGAGAACTTGCGGAAGAACCTACCAGCTATAGAAAGAGCTGGAAATAGATACGGCAGAATATAGATACCATGCAGTCCGCGTTGCGACTGGCCCTGGGATCTGAGAAATTCCCTAATGAAAGGTGGTGTTTCCTTGATAGGCTAGGAAGCTTTCTTCCTAAGGAGAAGGCATGGCTGCCTTTCGAGTCTCCGGATTGTCTTTCTGTCATTGGCAGTTATCCGAAGACAAAGTGGCAAGCCTATCCATTAATGGAGGGTGAAATAGGGCCCCATAAATCACTATGTACTAAACAAAGGGGCTTGTTTACAATAGTAGTAGAAAGAACAAAGGGAAGTGGAATTTCACGCGAAAGGTAAGTAAGAACTGTGGTTCAACTCCACAGCTAGCGTGGTTAGAGCAGCACCACAAGCCAATCAACCAACAAATAGCTTCTGTTATCAGGAGTGTGAGTTCCCAACATCGCTCCGGTTGGAATTAGAGAAACTAAGTTCGTTTCGGTAATTCTAAGCCCTAGAGCATCGTGATAATTGACGCTTAGATTGAATAGAAACCCGGCCCTTAACGACCGAAACCCTCGTTATAGGACTTGAGCCAAAGTTATGGAAGTTATGAAGAGGCTTAAGAAGGCGCTGACTTAGATAATTGCCCATGGGACCTCCTCTTTCCAGCCCCCGCATCCGTGGGATAAGCTAGGCGACCTGGAGAACCACGACTCAACTCGTAGTCTCTAGGGTTACAAAACTTACTGAACGAAGAGTAATCCCTGCCAGTGTTTTCGGAACACAGTGGGCGATCATTAGGCTATACTGCTTCTCATCACTATGCTTAGTAAAGACGCCAGCCTTCTTGTCTTTTGAACGAGAAGGCATAGCTTACCAGGTCGGACATAAAGGAGCGCCTTGACACGGAGGCAAACTTTCGATCCTGGGGCAGTACAAAGATACCTAGAGTAGTAGATTCGGTCACGCCACTAGTCGTCACCTGAGGAGATACAATAGGGTAGTGAAAACCTATCTATATATATATATATATATATATCTGTTATTATATTTTCTATTAGCATCCCACTTTAAGCACAAATTAATGCACCGAAATAGCGGACTTAATTAATAATTATCCTGACTAAATTACATTATTTTTATTTTTTAAGAAATAATAAATTAAGAATTAATACGAAGGTTATGTTTGATATGAGTTTTATAGATTGATTTAAGTTTTTCTTTTTACTTTCACTTCAAAGAAAAAATTTAAGTATGTCTGGATAGAAACAAATTTTTTACTTAAATCAAAAGTTTGTTATAGAATTGAAATAATTTTGAACTTTTGTCTTATGAATTATGACTTATACTACATTTTTTAGAAAAAAAAAATTGGAATCCTTTTTACCATTTCTAAATTAAATTGATTCCAACGCATTTTATCATAAGTTATTTATATATATAAAAAAAATGAATTACGACTTAAGGTGGGGTCAATATTCGAACAAACTTTCTTTGTTTACTTAATAAGAATCCAGGTTTAGTTTGATATTATTTTTAATTTTGAATCACAATTTTAAAATTATTTTTCATAAAAATAAGTTAGATTGAATTTACATTAAAAAAAAATGATAAAAATGACACCAAGTAACTTTCTTTCTTTTTTTTTTTATAAAAAAAGGAGTGTCATGCAAGTTATAATCCATAAGTTGTAAATTTAATTCTACTTTTATCAACCTATATTAAATAAAACAACTTAAATTAATTTGCTAAACCCATTCAAGAAATAACCTTAATTTAATTTTAATTTTCTCGACCTATATTAAATACCATCGTGTGAAGCCAGAAAAAATGTGGAAGAAAAGAACCTCTATATATCCGTTGACCAAATCTTTCATTGAGGGACCAATAAGATCCTATTCCAATGAAATATTCCTTCATTCCTGCCGACTACTGGCGACCCACTAAATTCCAGTTGGACATTGACATCTATTCCGTCTGGTTAATATTTATCTTCATCTCTTGAATTCAAACCGACGACAAAAATATGAATAGCATGGTTCGTTGTCTACAAGGAATTGTTCAAAACAATGACCCCAGAAAGTGCACCATGGTCTCTCCACACCACATGTTCCTGATAAGGCCATGGCCTTTCGTCCCGGGGGCAAGTTGGGTTCTAGGCTTCTCGGAGGTGGCTCATGTTACTTGTTTTGGTGGTTCCAATTTTAGGGACCCCGAGCCAAACATAAAATGATCGCAACTACACTTGCCAAATGCACACATGCATGCACTCTAAGTACTCAAGTCTGAAGTAACTAATTGAACATGGCATGGGCTCCAAGGAACTTTCTGGGTCCTTAAGCTGTCGTCATTTTTTAGCTGGGCATCAAGATATTTTGTAAAGATCCACCGACTGGTCTAAATATTTTTTAGATATTTTTAAATAATTTTGATATATTATTATAAAAAAATTAATATTTTAATGTATTTTCACTTTTAAAAAGCTTACTCCATTACCACACTCAGCACACTTAATATTTTAATGGCAAATTTACAGGCACGTAATTAACTGATCATGTAGGATGCAATTAGTTGCTTAATGGATGTCATACGCATGCATGTTGTTTCCGATGAAAGATGCAGAACTAATAACCGTTTTGCTTCCTGACTTCTTTAATTTTTGTGTGAAGGTTTTTTAGTTCAATAATAATGGTATTTTTCATATTAGATTGGCGTAAATCATAACTAACTAAATTCTTTCTTGATTGGTCTTTAATATATATATTTTTTAAAAAATAATATTTTTTTTTCTTAGATACTAATGCCAAAATTTGAAATCCAAAAATCAAGAATTGGAGTTAAACTTTTTAAAAACGTCCAAACCAACGAATGAATCATAATTGAGAAATTAATGTTATTATCTTTGAAACTTTTAGTCTAGATGTTAATCGATTTGTTTCTAGAAGAAAATTATAGGGAGAGGGTATTAAAATAAAAGGAGAAAATAATGTTTATAACAGGAAGCGCAACAAATATATTAAAATAAATACAAAATTGAAATTACTTCTTAAATTATTATAACTCTTCTTAGTAATCATCATAGATTACAACAATAATCTATTATTTGCAACAATAATATATAATGTTTATTTTTTTTAATGCAAGCATAGGGAGATTTTGTGGTGTTGATGTCATCACTTGATAAATATTTATTTTGACAAGATAAAATATAATTTTATTGATTTAAAATGAGGTTTGAGGATCAAATTTGAATCTTTATAAAATATTCAACCTCTTTTATCTTTCTACCACCATGGATTAATTTGCACGGGCAAAGAATACTTCAACTTCTTCTTTTTGGATTACTTAAATTCTTCTTTTTTTTGTTTAATTTGATTCTTTAGCCTTGTTTTTTATTTGAGATTGAAATTAATGATTTATTTTGGTTGATTGGATATAGTGGTATCATAATACCAAGGAAATATTTTGACACCCACCGTTTAATTCTGACAAAACAAATTAAAATTTTGTTCATATAAAACAATTAAGACTTAAAATATCATAATAAAATCTAAAATAAATGTGAGGGGTTGAAGTAAGCAAGCAAGTAGGACTTGATTGCCGGGTGCAACGCATGTGTGAGTAAAGTTGTTGTGCTTGAGTGATGTGTGTGACTTTACACCGCCATCAAATCCAGTCTTCGATAATGGCATTGCAAGCACCTCGACAAGATCTTCCCTATTGAGTGACGAATATTTGTGTTTGATG